ATAGCAAGGGGGGAAAAACCCACTTAGGAATAAATTGAACAAAAGACGTGTAAAACTTATATTCTAAAAACTATAAAACATGGTTTTAAAAATGTAAGGAGGCCTAAATAAATGGAAGGACATTCATATTCATGGATCAGAAGACTTCTGTCAAGGATTTTTATTGAATCTGGGTGGTTAAGGAAGGCCTCACTGAGGTTGCACTAGGCTGAAATCCAAATTATGGGAAAATGCTATGGGGGCAAGGGGAGCACGTTCTAGGCAGAGGCAACAGTTAAGTGAAAAACTATGCAGCAGAAATGAACTGGGCATGCTAGAGAAGTTAATGCTTCCTGGATTGAAAGAAAGTTACAGGAAAGTAAATGAGTTTTCAACTCACATTTGCTTTTTCAGAATAAAAACACGTACTATTGACTGATAATTTAGCTACGTATAGAAATCGTACCCCTTTCACACTCTTTCTCTTGGCATTTTATAGGGAAATTGGCCCCAAACTGCTGTTATCAGCAGGGACTTCTTTTGTCACAGAACAGTAGCTTTCACATGGACATCCCAGAGCGCCCAGCAAGGCAGCGAGCCCCTCCGCAGGCCCCACAGTTGGTTCAGAAAAAGATATCAACCTCAAAACCAGAGCCTGTTTGCAGCATGGCTTTCAAACTTTCATTGATGTTATCACAGGCAATTGCATCGTACAACTTTTGTTAACATAAAGAGGATTTTCAATTATTTAAACGCAAGCAGGCGCTAAGAGAGGAAAGCAGCTTGGTGGCCTGCCCCTTGTGGGCTATGGTGCCGGTCTCCAGGGAGGCCAGGCCAGCTCTTCTTCAGTCCTCTGCTCTGGGCAGTTGGAGAGTGGCTACATGGCCTTCTCCACACGCAGAGGATGGTTTTTTGTTTGCGTGTCTGTTTCTTTGCTTTTTTCCCTAGTCCGGCCTGGCCTGAAAGAGGTCTGTGATGTCACCACGTTGAGCGAGACTCTAGATGAGAACCATTAAAGCCAGCGGCTGCTGCTCACCTTCTCTTGAGTCATTCCTTCCTTCCTGTTGGTTCACTTCCATTCACTCTGAGCATCATGAAGTCTTGGGACAACTATGACTGTGAATTTTCAAGTTTACGTGAAACTCACAAACACGCTTGAAGCATCTACTACAAACGGCCTTTTGAGACCACACCCACCCTTTGACACCCACAGCACTCAGGGTTGTACCTCTGTTACAGCTTTCAGGATCAAATTCTACCACTTGCACACCCACCTGCACACGTAGCAAAGGCCTGGGGCAAGCCCAGTGCACTCTGCGCTCCTGCGGCCCCAGCAGAGCTCCTGGCAGAGCAGATAGATCTTCAATGCTCACTTGTTCTTTTGTTCAACAAACACCTGCCAGGCACCCATATTGATGGGGGGGGGGGGACTTATAATCTAATAGATAGAGCACCTGAATTATCTGAAAAGTAATCATATTATTTTAAATCTTAGAACACATATACTTATCTGAATAGGGGGTTAAGTTTCTTATAGAGAACTAGAGGCCCAATGCACATAATTCATGCAAGGGGCTTGGCCCTCGCAGCCCTGGCTTTGTCCGGAAAGTCGTCTAGATGGTCGTTCTGCTGTTTGGTCTGATTAGCATATTAGCTCTTTATTATATATGCTAGGGCTGTGGTCAGCAAACTGTGGCTCTCGAGCCACATGCGGCTCTTTGGCCCCTTGAGTGTGGTTCTTCCTAAGCCTTAGGAGTACTCTAATTAAGTTAATAACAATGTACCTACCTATATAGTTTAAGTTTAAAAAATTTGGCTCTCAAAAGAAATTTCAGTCATTGTACTGTTGATATTTGGCTCTGTTGACTAATGAGTTTCCTGACCACTGGGCTAGGGAGTTAAGTTTTTCTAAAAGTTTCCTTTCCAAGGCCTGTATGAAGCGATTGAGGAGGTGACTCAGCTGTGAATCCAGCAATCAGAACCAATAAGCACGGTCAGGACCCACCAGGAGTCAAAACATCACCTCATCAACCTCATCTCATCACCCGATGACTAATTACAATAGCTGACGTCTGCAACCCCCAGGCCTGCATGTAGCTGCATTCCTCACCCCAGCCCCTTCCCCTTTATAACCCTGTTCCCTGAATTTTGCTGGGAGGTAGGGTTTGATGCTCGTAATCGCCCTGTCTTCTTGGTTGGCTAGCCTTCTCAATAAATGCCTAATATGATTCAACCCTGCCTCCGTTATTGGACACAGCAACAGGCAGGCCGAGCCCAACCAGAGATTCCTGGTAACAATATGCCAAGCACTGAGCTGGGGGTTAAGTGGCACTACTCTTAATGTCAGTACCAACCAAGGAGTGACGATTCTCAAAGACTTCTAAAGGAGCAGAATGGTCCTACCTGGGAAATTGTTTCTATAAAGGAATTGTTTCTATAAAGGAGTTACAATAGCCAAATATCTGATTGAAGATTTGCATATGATTATGAACTTGGTCCTTCGATCATATTCCAACTTTGGCAATCAAATTGGGCCATCAGAGCTGCTTGCTGGTTCTACGGTGGGTTGTTAACCTGTTTCTTCCAGCTCTAAATCACACTGCCGAGCTGTAGGGTGTTAAAGGTTACGCCTCTGCTCCCTTTCCAGGTCCTTGGTTGACTGCCTTGCAGCTGAGCTCAAATGACCCCACTCATCAGAGGGCACAGGAGGAAGTTCTAAAAGGTGACCTTCAAAGTCGAGGCAGTGATTTTCAAGTGTAAATAAAAACCGACAGACATTCTGGAGAAGCCTCATATGTAACCGTGGTAATGTAAGGCCACGAGTACATTTCAATATAAGGAAACCCCACTGGCAAATCTTATGAGCCCGATGCTAGAAACTGTTCACAAGAGAGGCAGCTGCTTCCACTGCCTGAGACTTAGGACTGATGTGTGATTCCCCCCCAACATGTAGGAACACATAAGCTTTTGGTTGCTAAGCATGCCACGTTTTACAGCTTGCAAAGCCGATAACATGGTCCCAGAGTCCAAATATTGGTTTCTGTTCTAAGTCCAGCAGCATCTCATACGCTTGGAGCTCCGCTTGGGCCACAAAGGGCTTTCTCTGTGTGCATTTCCCAGTGAACTTTATCACAGGAGCCTCGTATCCTAACAGCCCATAAACGATGCAATTGCACCCAGACAGAAGTGTGTTGGGTTTTTAAAAATACATATTTTTATTGATTTCAGAGAGGAAGGGAAAGGGAGAGAGAGATAGAAACATCCGTGAGAGAGAATTGGCTGCCTTCTGCGCAACCCCCACTGGGGATTGAGCCCGAAACCCAGGCATGTGCCCCGATGGGGAATCAAACCTTGACCCCCTGGTTCACAGGTCAACACTCAGCCACTGAGCCACCATGGCCCAGCCAGTCAGAAGTTTTTAAAAATCAAAATATATCCTCCCACCAAGCTTGTTGGGTGAATGTCTCAGATGCCGAGTGGTGGTTCCAGGCGGGAGAAGGCTCTTCTGGGTCCTCAGAGTCTAGGCTGGTGCTGGCGCTAGTTGTGGGGACAGAACAGGAAGCGCAGGAGCCACTGCACCTGCTCAGACTGAGTGCTGAAAGGAAGAGCTGCCTCCACACCTCAGCTCAGCATGGATTTCTAGATCTAGTAATGGTCTTGTGAATAGCATGGTGAAGTTGCATTGAGTTAAAGGCCATTCTTTTTTTTCTTTTTTTAAATATATATATATATTTTATATTTTTTTTTTTACAGAGAGGAAGGGAGAGAGATAGAGAGTTAGAAACATCGATGAGAGAGAAACATCGATCAGCTGCCTCCTGCACATCCCCCACTGGGGATGTGCCCGCAACCCAGGTACATGCCCTTGACTGGAATCGAACCTGGGACCCTTCAGTCTGCAGGCCGATGCTCCATCCACTGAGCCAAACCGGCTTTGGCATTTTTTTTTTTAAATATATTTTATTGATTTTTTTACAGAGAGGAAGGGAGACGGATAGAGAGCCAGAAACATCGATGAGAGAGAAACATCGATCAGCTGCCTCCTGCACACTCCCCACTGGGGATATGCCTGCAACCAAGGTACATGCCCTTGACCGGAATCGAACCTGGGACCCTTCAGTCCGCAGGCCAATGCTCTATCGACTGAGCCAAACCGGTCAGGGCAAGGCCATTCTTAATGTAAAGTTTAAACACGTACTGCCATTCCTGTCACCAGATCTTGGCATTTAATAATTTTTTATATATGTGGAGCTTCCCAAAGTGCAAGTGGCAGGCTCCCTTTCTTCATCTATGAAAGCCAGTGTGTGTGGGGGGATTGGGGGGGTGAAGCAGGGGGGAGGCGGTATCCCTCAGATCTCTGGGGTCAGTGAGAGTGGTGTGTGGGAAGGAGTCAAGCGGGGAAATCAAGCGCAAGTGGGGGACGTGGGCCCCTCTTCCGGCGGTCCACAAAAAGCAGGGCTGGGCGTGGGGAGACAGTGAGTCTTGGGGCCTATGAGACCAGCTCCGTGCGAGACACCAGACGGCTCTAGGAGGCCTGACCGCGTTCGATGCAGGTCCTGCCCAAGCAGAACAGAAACCTGAGCTATCGACGCCCTGCGGGGCCTCTGAGTCACCAGGAGTTCCCCGCCGGAAGCTAAGGGCACAGCTTGGCTGTCCCCGCGGGTGCAACACAGGTGGGGACACCCCGCCCACTCGGCCCAACTCACCTTCTCCCTGCCCACCCCTGCCGCTAGGCCCCGCCCACCGCCCACGCTCCCTCTGGCCGTCCCGCCCACCCAGGCAGCTAGGCCACGCCCACCAGGTCCGCTGTGCACCTCCCACAAAGCTCGGCCCGCCCACCCGGACGCCAGGCCCCGCCCACCTGCCACGCTCCCTCTGGCCGCCCCGCCCACCTAGGCCGCTAAGCCCCGCCCACCCAGGCTGTGTACCTCCCCGAAGGCTCGGCTCGCCCACCCCACCGCCTCAGGTAGGACAGCCTCGCCCCGCCCCTCGGCCCCGCCCCCGCCGCCTCAGGTGGGGCCGCCCGGCAGGGCCCGCTTGTCCAGCTGGCGTCGGGCCGCGTCTCCTTAGCTCCTCACGGTCTTCCCGCGGCGAGGCGGCGGCGCGGCGAGTTTTGACACTTGGGCGGCTGGAGACGCGCGCCGGCTCTCGCGGGCCCACGGCTGTGGCGGCGGCCGACTCTCGAGGGCCCCTCAGCCGCGCCCCCGAGCTCCCACCGCCCAGAGTCGGGCGGCCACGAGGCCCGGCCGCGCCCGCCCGCCCGCCCGGCGGCTGCAGCCATGTCGAAGGGGCCGGAGGAGGTGAACCGGCTCACCGAGAGCACCTACCGGGTACGCGGACCCGGGAAGGGGGCCGAGGGGCGGGGAGCCGGGGCCCGCCGTGGTTCGGGGTTTGAGGCTGAGGGAACGCGAGGCCGGGCCGGACGGATTCGGGCTTTTTCACCTTGGGGCGAGGAGGGGGCTGACTCCCCGCGGGAACCGCCGCCCCTCCCCCGCCCCGGGCGCTGGAGACGCCCGAGAAGCCCCTAGTTTGCACCCCGACGTATGTGGGGGGAGTTGGAGAAGGCGGGCAGGTCTGTGCCATTTCGGGGGCCACGTCCTGCTCCCAACGGCTCCTCCGAGGGCGGCTGCGCGGGGCGGGCGGAGCGGCGCCAGGTGCCGTGGCCGCGCCAGGTGAGCGGGGGGGGGGGGGGGGGGGGGCGAGGGGGGGAAGCGACGGGGCCCCGGACTGCCCCTCGCGCCGCTCCCGGCGACCCTCCGCTCCCCCCCGACCCCCCCCCCCCCCCCCCCCCCCGCTCCCCGCAGCCTCTCGCTCCGCGGGCTCTGACCGCCGGCGGTGTGGTGAGTCCCGGGTCCGGAGCAGCCGGGCGTCCATGGAGTTGACCGGACTTTAAGGAATGCTTTGGGGGTCATGCTCTTAAAACTGGCGTTTATTGTGGGAGAGTTTTTCCAGAAACACACAGACTTGGGATTCGTGGCCAGCGGAGGAAGTTTCCAGCGGTTCTCAACCTGTGGGTCGCGACCCCTGAAAATACATCCTGCATATCAGATATTGACATGACGATTCCTAACAGTAGCAACATGACAGTGACGAAGGAGCAACGAAAATGATTTTATGGCTGGGGCTCCCCACCACATGAGGGGCTGTATGACGGGGTCGCGGTTAGGAAGGTTGAGAACTTTAAGCGCTTATAGGTGGATTCCGGTGGAAATGAGATCCGCGTGTAATCATCTGTTCCTAATAGGATACAAAACAACTTTTGTTTTAAGTCGGCTGAGGCCCGCGGAGCTCCCCGAGACTTAGTTTTCCAAATTTCACTTGCAGTCATCTTCAGGGCCCACAGTATGGTCATTTTTATAGACTTTTTTTTTTTACCCCTAAAATGTGGCTTCTAGATTTGCAAGGTCTGCGTGAATTCCTGAAATAAGAGTTGATTGACTGTTGTTGGATAAGAATTTCAAAAGAGCGTGAAAATATATTCTTAATGGATCTTTGGAAGTTCAAAACAAAAATTGTATTTCCTTCGTCTGAATACAACAAACATGTGAATTACAATTTGTAGCCAAACACAGCATTTGGGGGCTCAGGAAGTCACTGTGACCAAAATTTGTTCCTTACTCGTGTGTTTCCTTTAATAGAGGGCATTTCGAAATTCCAGAAATGTGAGTGTTAAAGTTTAACATTTGTCCGGGGTTTAATGTTTGAATGTTCCTGACGATGGTGGGTCGGGGCCGGGCGTGTGGGGTCTTTCCCGAGGGTGTGAAGGAAACATTCTTCCTCTTAGACTCGGGGAGTTGCAGCTACGCTGATGACTGTCAGTTAAGTTTGGAAAAACTGTATGTAATTGAGGAATGCAGGCATTGCAGATTGGAGGCAGAGTCTAAGTTTCCACAGGGCCACGAAAGCTTTAAAAAGTGAGCCCAGCCGTAACCGGTTTGGCTCAGTGGATAGATAGAGCGTCAGCCTGCGGACTGGGTCCCGGGTTCGATTCCAGTCAAGGGCATGTACCTTGATTGTGGGCACATCCCCAGTGGAGGGTGTGCAGGAGGCAGCTGATCGGTGTTTCTGACTCTCTATCCCTCTCCCTTCCTCTCTGTAACAAATCAATAAAAAAAATTTTTTTTTTAAGTGAGCCCACAGATGCCCCTCCCCCTGCCTCTGAGAGTCAGGCGGCATCTTCCCGGTCCCAGTGGAGATAACTGGAGACAGGCACTCAGGTGCTGTCATGGGAAGGAACATGGCTTTGCTTTTTCCTCCCCGCACTCCCGACTTTCACTTTCAGTGGTGACTCGGTGGAGGGGCTGTGTACTCCAGTGCATTACCGCGCCGGCAGTGCCAACCACTTTGACCTGTGCAGTTGCCAAGGAACGAGCAGGAGGGGAGAAGTGCGGATTTCATAGTTTTGATTATATGTATTTGCAGATGTAAGGCAGGGTGAGTAATTTTCATATTTTGAAAGATTATAGCACTGAAGATCAGAGACCAGGACAGGCCTCGTGGCTTTTCCTTCCCAGGTGTTTTCAAACATACTGAAAGCTCACAGATGTCTTGATTTATTTTAATCACCATTTCCTCGTTCATGTCTTAGGATCATGGCTTTTTTTTTTTACGTTGAGATGGTGGAATACGAATTTACAGCTCTAGACAACAAATTTATATGTAATCTTTGTAGTGAATGCTGCTAGCTCATGCCTTGGCTGTGATAGAAATGCATAGTAAAATTTTACTTTCAATTGAAAGCCTGAAATTCTTTCACCTCCTGCTCTTGGGTTCTTGCTCCCGGGCCGCTTCTCCACTACCAAAGCTGAGAACAATTTAAGCCTAATATGGTAAAAAATCTACTGGCAGTGTTGATGAGTCTAGCTAGCTAGTTCTTTTAAAAAAGGGACTTCCTTTTATGTTACCTAGCAATCTACAGTGTTTTACTAATAGAACCAACCATAACTTAAGCAGGTGCGTTTACAAAAGCCACCTGCAAATGAGATTTTATGACTTGCTTGTATGGGTTTTAGGTGTTTTCTTTAACACTCAAATTTCTCCAACTTTGAAATAGAGGAATAAACTCTTAGAGAAAATGGGGATTATAAAGTATGCAGTGTCAAATATCTTTAAATATTTACACATTGCAGAGTTTTCTAAACATACACTTAGACAAATGATTGCTGGAGATCCATGCTAAATCCCAGAAGGTTATGTGTTTTACCACTTCACAAACAAATGGCATGATAATAAGCCCCAAGATGTCAAGTAATGTTGCTGTTGCCAATTAAGAATTAAATTAAAGGTCCCTCCCCTTCCCCACACTTCAGTCTATAGTATGCCCATAATTTGTAGCTTGCTAGTGACTTTGCATGGTTTTCTGATGAGTATATGCTTAGTTGTACGAGGAAGAAGTGAAGTTTTAAAAAAGCAAACGTTAATTAAGAGTAACTACAACCTTCCTAGAAGTTAGAACAGTTAAAGTCAGGAAGATGAGGAGGGATGGGTGTGACATCATTAAGGATTAATCTTGCTAAAGCAGCAGTGAAGGGGAAATGACACTTAAAAAAAGAAAGGAGGGGAGAGGGGACACAGAAGTCTTTTTTAAAAAAATATCACCTTCTCAGAGAGGCCTGCTCAAACAGCTCTTTAAAATTGCAGAAAACGCCGTCCATCTTGCAACCCTGCCTAACTGCCTTTCCCCCATAGGTCTTACTGCCATAGGGTCTATTTATTTATTTGTCTGTCTTCCCATGCCAACTAGAATGTGAGCTCCCAAAGGAAAGGAGCTTTGTTCTGTTGTACATAGTACAACAGGTCCTGGCACATAGTAGGTGTGCATGTGTGTTGAATAAATGGACATTTAGTAAGCACCTATCTTATGTTAGGCTCCCACCCTGCCTATAAACACTTTTTATAGAGTGTTTGTTTCATTCTAAATAAACATCAGCCCTTAGGGTGGCTATAGATTTTGTTTACCATTAAGAAACTGAGTCCCATGCCCTGGTTGGAGTGTCATCCAGTGCACCAAAAGGTGGTGGGTTCAATTCCCCGTCAGGACACATACCCACGTTTCAGATTTGATCCCCATCAGTGTGCTTGCAGCAGGCAACTGATCAATAGTTCTCTCTCACATCGATGCTTCTCTCCCTCCCTCCCTCCCTCCTTCCCTTCCTCTAAAATCAATTAAAAATATTTCCTTTAATATAAGAAAGAAACTGAGTCCCGAAGTCTATGTGTGACCAGTGTCCACATGCCAGCCTCAGTCCCTCCCATTTTTGTATAGTAATTTAGTTTTAGTGACTAACAAGTGCACAAAACAAATATCTTTTATAATTTGGTGATCTAAGATGTCACTAACATTTTCTGTCATTCTGGTAATTCATTGTCATTGACATGTTTTTTGTGGGTTGTTTTTTTAATAAGAAAAAGTACTTTTGTTTCACTGGGTAAAGCAAGCAGTCTAGGCATGTATACTAGATTTTGTTTGCTTGTTTGATGGTTTTATATTCTCCACTGGGGGAGGGGGAGAGTAAGTGAAAGTCCCTGCCTGGGTGGTGTCCAGTGCAGACCGTGCTGTACAGGTCTAGCTTTTGAATCTCTAAATTGCCTTTTATGTTCCTTGCTATAGCTTTACACAGTGCTTAATATCTTCATCTGTTCCCATCACACTTTCTTCAGGTATGCTGAAGATAAAAATGGGGTTTGCAGAAGCCCCGACAACTTGCTCTCGGCTCCATGGTGACTAAAAGAAGGGGAATAGTAAGACTCATGTGCCAGATAGTGGCAGAAGGGTTGCCAGGTATTGATATCAAACTGAACAGCCCAGTATTGTAGCTTTTTGTTTGGGGAAAATGGAAATACAAAGCCAAACAATCGATGTCTTTTTTAGTCATAACATTTTTTCTTGATTGGAAAGAGGTTTTAGAACTAGGATAACACGAGTGCTCTGCAGACAGAGCAGCGGCCTTTATTGTGAAGCCTGGGAGACTGGGACTGCTTGGACAGGTGACACCATTCACAAGTTTCGGGTTGCTTTTGAGTTTGTGACATTATGCCAGTATTGGGCATGAATTCTTGCCTTGCATTTCCACTGTAATGAGCCACAGGCAGACTTGCAAGGGAATCCTAATGTGCATGGAATTACAACAAATTGGATTTTTGTTTCCCCCCACCTTCCACACAGCTGTTTCTTCTGCAGTTCCAAAGTAAAAATGGCTCTGAAAGCAGTGCAAACACTAATTTAATTTAACCTCTGTTGTCATTTGAAAATATGTCTTTATTTCTAAAACTTTTTTATTGAGCTATAATAGACACATGGAGCCCTGGGTGGGTGTGGCTCAGTCTGTAG